GCAATAAAGTCATTAACTATATTGATAAATTCATCTTCATAATTTAAATCAAGTATCAAATTAAGTGCTTTCTTGATCTTTCCAAAACCTTGTATATATTTAACTTCTCTTCATATATTTTTTTTATTTCAGATATAAATATATTCAGTATCTGAGATTATTAAATACATGCAAATCAACTGTCACTTCTATATTATTATATTGTTGAAATTGAGTAACTACATCTACTATTTCTTATAAATTCAACTTAGTATCATTATCTTGAATATCTTCTAGATACTATCATTTTGTAATAAGACTAATCTTAAACTTGGCAATTTTTAAATTAATCATTACTTGAAAAAAATATATATACACAAGCCCATGGTTGATTATATATCCTCCATCAATTAATAAAACAATATAATATTTATATGAACTTGTAATTCCAAAGAGCTTCTAAATTTCTATAATATCAGATAGATTTATACTATTTAAAAGAGAACATAGCAACATTTGTAGTCTGTCAAATTGGTCCTCAAAAAAGCTAGTATTATAATTAAACTGATTTAAGTCTTCATGTATAAGATCAGCTGATTCTTTAGAGATTAATTTTGTATGATATAATAAAGATCCTTGAATTTGTTGTTTTTAAATAGATAAAATATATGCAAATAGGTATTTCTTTATCAATTCGAATACTTTATGAAATACAGGTTTAGTGATTGAGAATGCTTGGTTGGTTGGGAGACTTGAAGAAATGTATTATAATAAGTCTATTGGGTTTCATTATCTGATAAATACTGAACTTAAAATTCTAGCAGTAAAAAATTTAATTTGATAATATTTTGCCTATTTTTCACAACAACTGTTTAATATACGATTAAGATATCCTTGAGATTGAGAATATTGTTCAAATAAATATCTCTAACAGTGATAAAAGTCATCTTCATTTAAACTATTCTGGGTATACAAAAATGTTTTATAAAATATTTCAAAGTTTTGACTCAACTTACTATACAAATTTTTTTTCAAATTCTTTTGAATATGAAATATACAAAAAAAATAGTTAGTAGTTGGCATTTTTGACATTATTGCATTTATTACTGGGTCTGCATCTAAAAAAATACAAATAGGAGATATATTTTTAGTTGCTTGAAGAATACAGTTGAGATACTATTTATAACTTTCAGCTATTTCATCTTTTAATAAGCATTGAGCAACAAGCCTACTTTTGGTATTGTTATTCACAACAACTAACAAAGCTAAATATATATCAAACCAGTTAGTTTGATATGTATTATCTGTTTGCATAATACATAAAGTATTAGTGTTGAATGAGTGATATCTAAAATAATCTAACAAGTTAGTTATCAAATAGGTTGAGCTTTGTGTTGATAATCCAACTAGGCTCTTGGTCTTTCAAAACTAGCAACTTATTAATTACTTGTTGTGTATCTCCTTGATATTTAGTAAAAGATATCCTAAACTTCTAAACTGCATTATAAAGGTCTTTTTTACAAATAAGTTGATCTGAAAAACTTGCAACCAACAAATTATAAATCTGCTTTAAGCTCATATTTTCTTTAGTAACATAGAATTCGATTTTTTTCATTATATCCTTTAATAATCTGTGGTATCTAAGATTATACAAGGCTGTATCAGATGTCATAATGTGGTTATGCTTATTGTCAATATTTGTTACTTTTATTTTCAGTAATGATTTTTGTATATTAAGATTTATATGCTATGGACATTTAGATTTTTTAAATGAATGATTACATTGAAGACTTGAATCAATCACTTTATTAGGTGTTGGTTCACCAGAAAAGCTGTATTCAAATATTTGTTAATATATAATTCTAGTATTGTTAGTTTTACAGCAATTACGATATAAAGAAAATCCTATTAATTTTATATATCTTTCCAAATACAATTCAGCTATTTCTTATGAAAGAAAAGAATCATCAACCTTAATTATAATTTTATTATTAGAATTATCTTAGATATTTTAAATATTATCTTGATAGTTTTGTATAACAGTTATGGAGTTATCTCGAATAGTATCTACATAGTCTTTTTCAACAGTAAGATTATCTTGAATGATACAATTCTTAAGAAATATAGAATCATCATCTTGGATAGTATTTATGTTGTTGTTTATATTGTCTTTCTCAATGATTATAAAAGTAATAGTAATTAATTAGTCTTCATTGATTATATCAGCCCAAATAGAAGCTAGCTATTCTTCCTCATCGTACTCAATAAGCAATATGATATTTTTAGAGTCTTTCAGAAAAGTTGTTTAAAAGTTTGTGCCATTAATTTTTCTCTTAATTATCAATAAGTAAATTTTATATATAATTTACCTTCTATTACTTATAGTTACTGAACTTTAACTTGAAGGTCTGTATACCATACTATTTTTTAATTAACTGTTTTTCTGCTTATAAAGTATAGCATTAACAAGAGGTTATGAGTTAGCCAATTCTGAATTCAGATAAAAAAAAGACTGATCATTGTTTTATATGGGATTGCATTATTTATTCTAAATATTAGAATAGATCATTTAAATATTATTTTACATATTACTCCATATAAATAACAAATGATTGTAGATGCAGTTACCAACTGTCTGAGCCCAAATAACCTGTATGTAATATAGTGATAATCACTACAGATAACTTGCATGTGACATGGTAATGATCACTGTGATTATGGTTAACAAATTTTATAACTACAGTGCACGACACTTAAAGACTATATTTGTCCCATTTTCAAAAATTTCATATTGAAATTTGATGCCTTTGTGATTTCTTGTGTTCTGA